CTATACCTAAAGCAGGGATAGTGTGTGATATAGGCTGTGTGACACATGATGCACTGGAATCTTCTCATCTGTACATTTGTGTTTTACAGTGGTGCCTCGCAAGACGAAATTAATCCGTTCCGCGAGTATCTTCGTCTAGCGGTTTTTTCGTCTTGCGAAGCAACCCTATTAGCGGCTTAGCGGATTAGCGCTATTAGCGGTTTAGCAGCTATTAAAGGCTTAGCGGCTTAGCGGCTTAGCTGCTAAAAGGCTATTAGCGGCTTAGCGGCTTAGAAAAAGGGGGGGGGAGCGGAAAAAAATCTCAAGACTCGCAAGACATTTTCATCTTGCGAAGCAAGCCCATAGGGAAATTCGTCCTGCGAAGCAACTCAAAAACGGAAAACCCTTTCGTCTAGCGGGTTTTCCGTCTTGCAAGGCACCACTGTATCCTTATCAACATAAAGATTTAACTGTTTAAGATGAGTGTGAGCTGGAGGGGGGGTGGAATAACTCTAAAAGATGGTAACTCTAGCAAGTCATTCTACAAAAAAACCCCAACAGTTGTGTGTTTCTCAAAAGCAGAAATAAGAATAAAAAGGGGGACAGTGGTTTCTCCTGGACAGAAAACGAAGATAGTCAGAAGATCCAGGGTGATGCTGGATGCTTCCATGGGCTGCTTCCACAATGGAAATTTACTGGGAATAAATTTCATTTACTCACTTTTTTTAAAAAAAGATATTTATTAGAAGTTTAGGAATTACAAAAAAAAAGAGAGAGAAAACAACAAAAAATTTAACGACAAACATTACATTACATTACATAAAAAGAATAACATAATAATAATAAAAAAACAATACAGTGAAAAAGAACAATAACATTTAAAAAAAAAATACATCCAGTATTCCATATCTTTACCTTTCATTTACTTGTTTCATCGACCTCCTCACACCTCCCTTTTTGTATTCTAATTCAATTAATTGTTTCCTCAAATTCTTTCCATCTTTCTCAATTTTTGTTCTATAATTTATCTTAACGGTCTAACCTTACATTTTTCTTTTTGGTCCATTATCAATCAACTTTTACTTAATTCTTTATTACATTTCTGCTAAAACCCTATAACTTCATTCCAGCATCCTTCTAACATTCATTAATTTTACAATGTTTCTGTAAATATACTTTAAATTTTTTCCAATCTTCTTCCACCGACTCTTCTCCCTGGTCTCAAATTCTGCCAGTCATTTCTGCCAGTTCCATGTAGTCCATCAGCTTCATCTGCCATTCTTCCCGGGTGGGTAAATCTTGTGTCTTCCAGCGCTTTGCGATGAGTATTCTTGCTGCTGTTGTAGCATACATAAAAAAAGTTCTATCCTTCTTTGGCACCAATTGGCCGACCATGCCCAGGAGAAAGGCCTCTGGTTTCTTCAGAAAGGTATATTTAAATACCTTTTTCATTTCATTATAGATCATCTCCCAGAATGCCTTAATCTTTGGGCATGTCCACCAAAGGTGAAAAAATGTACCTTCAGTTTCTTTACATTTCCAACATTTATTATCGGGCAAATGGTAAATTTTTGCAAGCTTGACTGGTGTTATGTACCACCTGTAGATCATTTTCATTAAATTCTCTTTTAAGGCATTACATGCCATAAACTTCAAACCAGTGGTCCATAACTGTTCCCAGTCAGCCATCATAATATTATGTCCAACATCTTGTGCCCATTTAATCATAGCAGATTTCACCATTTCATCTTGAGTATTCCATTTCAACAGCAAGTTATACATTCTTGACAAATTCTTAACTTTCTGATCTAACAATTCTGTTTCCACATTTACTCACTTTTCATGGGACATCTTCATGACCTTGTGATCAAAACATGCTCATCCCATGTTTCTGTGTTCAGATTCCAGTTTGGTTTTTTCAGAAGATGAATTAAAAAAAGACAACACATTTGAACACTTGCAGAATTTCCCCTGGTGCACATGGCTCACCCCACAGCTGTTCAGTAGGTTGTTTGGCTGGTTATAGCTTATATAGATTGATTTACCCACTCGCCTCCTCTTTAAGAATTAGCTCTATCACTTTAGCCCTTTCCTTCCCAAACAGCATTGTACATTTATCAATTTCTGCTCCTTCCTGCAGCTGGGGAGGCAATCAAGATTCTCTAAGGCCCAGTGTCCCTCTCTAGGAACGCATTATCTTTGACCCTCTCCTTTCCAAATATCTATCTCCCTAACCCCCACCCTGAAAAAAATGGAGAAGGATCAATTATGCTTGGGAGTCCCAATGGAAATTCCCCCCCTCCCAACTTATTGGGGTGGGGAAAGGGCAAACTACCCTTTACCTTCAGGCTGTTAGAAGTCTGGAATCAGAATTGCTATTCCACTTTCAGTTTAAAGTAGTATGGCAATGAATTGGCTCTGCTATGTGTGGAAACCCCTTTAGACATGTCTGTTTCACTGTAATATTGTGTCAATGACTACAGTTCTAAGAGCCATGCAATTGCATTAGAAGCGGCCTAACATTTCATCTCAAGTCTCCAGATCCTATGAGTGTGAGAATATGCTGGAGAAGGCCCTTTCACAAGTAGTGTAGTTGATCCTGGCCAATAAATTATCCCATTCCGACACTGATTAGGCATGAAATGCTGGAGCATTTGGGAATTCTAATGCTATTTACAAACAGGCGGACACAAGAATCACTTTCCACCTAAATATGAGTAACATATATCAAGAAGAGGAAGAGAAATCCTTGGAGAGGAAGGTTGGCTTGTAGAACTCACAATCTGACCAGCTGAGCATAACTCATCTATCATGCACAAACACACGAGGACAGTGATATTTGCTCTTCCATCAGGCAGAGAGGCTCACTCGCAACCCATTCTACGTGACGCATGCTTTGGACTCGGTTTGGTGGGCCCCAAAGTTGTGCAGAAGATTGGCCAACCTGGTGCCCTCTAGATGTTTTGGACTACAACTCTCACCAATGCCAGCCAGTTCCTGGGCATTTGGAGGGCATTGGTCTGGCAATAGCTGCTCCACAGACTTGCTGTGTTTGTTTTACACGCCCAGTTCAGGACAGAAACAGAGTGAGAAAGGGGGGGTAGAGAGGGAAGGAAGAAAAGAGGGGGGAAGTTGGCAAGAATAACTTGAAAAGAAGAGAGGTTGTTTATCTTCCGGCAACCTGGTTCTACTATTTAACCCCCGTGTCACAACTGGAGCTGTGCACAATATTTACCTCAAAACTGAAAACCCGCCTGGACTGAGGCTCTGTTCCAAGGTTCACTGAGTTCATGAACGTCAGCCAACGCTCATGAAAGTTTTGGCAAACATCAGCTGAGGTTATTCACTTAGCCTTGAATCAGGCAAGCCTACTGCCCTAGATAGCCTTGGAAAAAAACCCGCAAACCTGACTTCCTCCGCCACTCCCCTCCCCATAGTAAATCTCAGCTCATCCACCACCACCCCATTGCCAGCCAATCAAAACGGAAGGCGAGGGAGCCTAGCTAGGGAAGCCTGAACATGGAGGCAGAGTGACTTCAGTCCAGTGTGTGTCAGTGAGGAAAGAGCTCACTCGCTCACCTCCCTGTCCCTGAGCGAAAGCTGAACAAACGGATACATGCACGCTATGCACACCCTGCGCTTGCCAGCTCCGAAATTAATGTTGCTGGGGAGGGGAAATGAGAAGTACTTAAGGGAGGGCTTGAAATGAGGTCATACACGTTGGGCCTGAAGGGCTAGAGGCAGCATTATGAGCTGTTCAGAGTGTGGATTTAGAGATAAGAGTTCAGAACTGTCCCGGTTTATGCAGGAAGGTGTAGCCATTATACTGTTGCACATAAGAAACCGTTACAGGTTCCAGAATCTGCCAGTTTGGTTTCTCTCAGTTTCACTTCTCCATATTTCCTTCTTTAAAAGCCCTAATTAAAATCCATCAGCATGTCAGTAAGAATTTCTCCTAAAATAACACATTTTTGTATGTCGTTTTCCCATAATACACACATTTTTACAAAGCATGTGTTCCCTGATCTATATATTTCCCCTAACATAATGCACTTCCCTATGTTATTCTTCACTAAAATATGCATTTTAATGCACAATTTATCCTAGCAGCTGAATTTCACACCCTACTTGGCCGATGAGCTGGAATGCAAAATTCAGAGAAATGCGAATTTTGAAAGATGTCTGTGTTTTGGTTCACATTTTGTTTCAGAAAGCACGAATTGGGTATGTTTGCCTTAATCAAGTGTCTTCCCCATCCCTACTCCAGAGCAATACTCTGCAGTGAACAACATAGACAGCAATGTCTGTGGTAATATCAGCAATGACTTGAGCTAGATGGACCAATGGTGTGGCTCAGAATAAATCAGCTTCCTTTGTTCCTAACTGTGAAGACACACCACTCAGTAGGCTAGATCCCAAGCTGGGAGAGGCTAGCAGCAGCTAGTCTTAAATGCTAGACTACCTGAGCGCATGCTCATATGACAGAGCTCAACTAGATCCTTACAGAGCAGCCGTGTAAAATATGCATGGGGGGGCATAGCTGGAGAAAGTAAAGTGAGCTTCTCGTAGTCCACAGATTTCGCTAGCGCAGTACAGATTTATTGAGTGATAATGTTATGTACTGAAAAGTGGGCTGCAGGTTTTAAAATATACGCACACAATATTTCATTGCTCACTCTACGCGTGGATGGTAAAGAAGCAAAAACACCACACAGCTAAGTTTCTGCCCAAGGCTTCTTTAAGCTGCAATCCTGAACCCACTAACCAGGTAATAAACCCCACTGAAGTCAGTGAGAATTATTTCTGAACAGACACATATAGGATTGTGCTGCAAATCAACATGTGCACATAGCAACGATGCGGGCATGAGGAACCTGTTGCTCTCCAGATGTTGTTGGAGCTTGATTTCCAATGGTCAGGAATGCTGGAATTTGGAATTTGGAATTCAGTGACATTTGGAAGGCCACAGGTTCCCCACTGTTGCAACAAGAGGCATCACTTCCTCATATGATATCAGCATCCACATGGTAGCGCAGGTTGCCTAGAGGCTTAATGAAAAGGGAAGAGGCATCTTAAAATGCTGCAAAAAACCCGAAATGAGAATCTAAAGTTATTGAGTTAGAAATTATTCCAGAGCCAGCATGATGCTGATTTAAGCTGAAAAGCCTTGGAAACGTTCACTGATTTTTCCGTAGAAAAATAGGTGCTGGTACACACCATGAAGTTGTTACAGTAAGTGTCACACTTTTTAACACAAAGGGGGGGGTGGTACTGTGTGCCCTTGAGTACCCCCCTAGAGAAAAGCACCCTGGAAACATTCATTTATGAGGATTTTTTTACAGCAAATGCTTATAAAAATTAGGGTACTCCTGTACTTAGACATGCAGAATTAATAAAGCATTTAGTTTACGTTACTTACAACCTGATAAAGAAGCAAAAGGGGGAAATATTTGTACAAATAAAGTAATATTTGTACTTGGAAGTACAAATGAAGATCAAGTTAATCACACTTATTCTCATTGAAATCAATGTGAAAAGTTAGTCATGGCATACTTAAGTCACCATGATTTCAGGTTTGACTCAGGCTGCATACACATCTTACATTTTAAGTACATTCTCCCCCAAAGGATCCTTGGAAGTGTAGCTTCTGAAGGGTGCTAGGATCTATAGCTCTCTGAGGGATCAATGACAGCTCTTAGGATTTGTTGTTGTTGTTGTTGTTGTTTAGAGGGGGTTGCTTTAAATGTATGGTGTGTATGCAGCCTCAGAAATGCAATATGATGTAATGTGCCTTAGCATTCAGCTCTTAGCATTTTGGTACGGCTGGCTGAGGCTCCAAAATATCAGGAAGGCTTCAAGTGTTCTGACCTTGGCAAGAACTCATTGCAATTCGATACATGCAGGATGACAGGGAGACCCAAGGGTGGTCCGTGAGGACTAAGCTTGTATGCACCCTTGAATGTGCAAAGAAAAGAACATTTCACGACAGGTCCTCTGCATTGCATGATGGGGGTTTTGCAAATATTATTTCAACACACTGTGGCGACAATGCCTCAATATTGGCAAACCCTACAACTGCCAAAATGCCACAATGCCAGAAGTCTGATGAAGGGTGTAATCCCAGACTGGGACAAGCTGGGAGTCAACTCCAATAGGTTGCATTCAATGGCCCTCTTCCATGAATGGCAGAAATCCTTCCATAGGTGATACCTTTAACCTGGCAGAGGCCTCCATTAATGGAAAGTGGGGGAGGAATTTCCTTCCATGCCCCCTCAGCAGGAGCTTTCTCTCCCTCCGATGCCACCCTCCGCTTTTCGATCTGGGTGGGGCTGGTGTGGGGCGAGGATAATAATAATAATAATAATAATAATAATAATAATATATTTATTATTTATACCCTGCCCATCTGGTTGTGTTTCCCCAGTCACTCAGGGTGGCTCCCAAAATAATAATAATAATAATAATAATAATAATATAAAACTGAATTGGACAATGGGGGTGGAGACACATCCCCTCCTCTTCTGCTAGCAGACACATCCATTGGGTCCAACGCCCTTCCACAAATGAAAGGACACAACTGGATTGAGCTCAATGGGACGTGCAACATGCAATCCTGTTTTATCTCCACCTCTCTGATGTTAAAGAGTGAATTAATTCCACTCATCTTTTACTGCTATTCCTCGCTGGTTCGATAAGCCTACCTTCGGGAAAGCTGGAACTTCCAGCGCGACTCTTCTGTTTTTCCTGATGAAGAAATTAAAACTAATTTGAAAAATATGGCAAACAACGCCACAGTGCTCCATTTGCATCTGGTATACTTTTGCGTGTAATTGCTTCACAGTTCTCCTCCCCCCTGCCCCCCACGCCATATTAAGTGAAAACAGAATGTTTTTAGAAGATGTGCAGTTGAAAGAATAAACATCCCCCAAAGAAATGAGGTTAATTTCTGTTTTATCCTCATTTTGTTTTGTTTCTTTTGGAATAAATAACAGCTCCCCCCTCCTTCCCCCCTTAAGAAATGCACAAAGGCTTCACAACTATTTTCCAGGTCACTTGGACCCTTTGAGCAAGAAGACCTTCTCTTGCACGCTTACACTGGGGTATATGGGACCAGCTTATGCTTTCATTACATGTTACTCAACTCCCACATCCCTACCATTAGGCAGAATGAGCCGCCTGCCTCAGGCAGCAGGTGCTGAGTGGGGCATGTGTATCAGACAGAACTGTGTATGCCAGCACCCTGCAAGCTAGCCTGTTGCCCCCATGGGCTGTGGAGGACACTATCCCATTCCCTGTATTGGAAAAAGATTCAACAGTCAATCTGGTTGGCTTTTGTACATGGAATCTGGCATAGATGAATCTGCCAAGTATACCTGAAGGAGCGTCTCCACCCCCATCGTTCAGCACTGAGGTCCAGTTCCAAAGGCCTTCTGGTGATTCCCTTACTGCGAGAAGTGAGGTTGCAGGGAACCATCAGATGTCAAGGAAATAAACAACTACCTGACTTCAGAAGACATCTGAAGGCAGCCCTGTTTAGGGAAGTTTTTAATGTTTGATATTTTATTGTGTTTTTAATATTCCATTGGGAGCCACCCAGAGTGCCTGGGGAAACCCAGCCAGATGGGCAGGGTATAAATAATTCATTCTTCTTCTTCTTCTTCTTCTTCTTCTTCTTCTTCTTCTTCTTCTTCTTCTTACAAATTTGTTTTCTCTCAGTTTTATCAGTCTTCCAATCCACGTTTCCAATCAGTTCCTGATTATTTTCATCTTTTAAAAAGTGCTCATGAAAATTCATTGACATGCAGAATAGCATTTCAGTGCAAATCTCTCCTAGTATACACATTTTTGTCTGCAATTTTGCCCAATACATAGATTTTTGCAAGGCAACCTCCCCTAAAACAATGTGTTTTTCTGTGTTTTCTGTGTTGTGTTCACTAACACGTGAATTTTGATGTACACTCTACCCTGGTAAATGCATCTTTGATAGGCAGGAGAGCCACACCACAAAATCTGGAGACATGCGTATTTTGAATGATGGCTGCTTCTGTTTGCATGCTGTTCTGAAAAGTGCAAAATTTGGAGGCTTGTCTTTAAATGTGAACAGAATCAAATTTCTCCCCCATCCTTTAGAGGGAGCAATAACATGGCTGCAAACGCAGCTTGGAGGTTGTCAATAAGCTCTTGTTATGAAAGACTATAAACTCTTATGCATGAAGGGGTGGATACAAAAGGGAGGAGAGGGTTGTCCACCTGTAGGTATGCTCCCAAGGGCCCCCCAAAACCTGGAAACAGCCACCACACACTTAAGGCTGAGGGAGACTGCTTTTAAACTATTTCCTCTTCCTTTGGCTCAGTGCATTTTTAATATGGGTCACCTGGCCTCTCTAATTAGCTGGTGATTTATTTTCCAGCAACTCCAACAGATTATGTCAAGGTGTGCAAGGTTGGTGGCTCCCTAAAAGGTTGTCCTTGTCGCAGATGGAGCATGTTATGCGGAATGAAACCAGATCACAATAGACTTATTTATTTTATTAGAAACAGCATGCACCCAAAAATGAGGCTAGGAGTGGAATAGTAGCTGTATAGCAGCCCAAGGAGAGTTATGTGCTCATAGAACAATAGAAAATGAGACAATGGAAGAAAAGTATTCCAAGCCTTCTGAAATCTTGGTTTTAATGGAGCCATGTCAAACCTCCTAGGGAAACACGAATGACTGCTAGACTTTGCTTAGAGATTATTGTGATTCAGCAGTGTACAAATTTTTGAAATAAGTAAACAAAGCGCATGCTATTAGCACCAGGATTCCTGCTTATGCGACGGAATTTCCTCCTCCTCTCCTTACTTACATATGTCCTCCATCCTCCTCCAATCTCCTCCAGAAGGTTGCAGGGAAACCCAGAACACATTTAGAGGGCATGTGTTGGGAGGAGAGGGAGAGGAAGTTGTATTGCAGAAGCAGAAATCCCTCTGCGGATGGAACCAGTTAGTTGGATACCTCCCCATGGTTCTATTAATGCAGCCTATAATTACATTAGCATTTTTTTGCAGCTACATGACACTTCTGGCTCATGCTCAGCTTGTGATCAACTGCAACCCTCTTTTTCCCATTCTTCTAAACTGTTTAAATAGGCCTTCTAATAGGCCACCCCTAACCAATTATTCAAAATGCAAGTTCCGATTATTTTCATGGAACCAAAGTGCAAATGTTCTTCCTGTTAGGACAAACCTATCTGGTTTTTAAAAGTTTTTTTCTGGTGTGATTACCTTCTTTGGCACCTTTTCAGCCTTTACAGCTCTCCGTCCTCAATTTGATCACATTTGTTAACAGGTTTCCTGAATTATTGGACCCAGGACAGAGCAGACTACTGACAAAGAGTTCTCACTGCATCCTGAAAATTCTTAGGCAAACCACTGATATGTCTCGGAGGAACAAAAAGAGAAAAGAGTGGAAGGAACGGGCCTCCCTTCAAAGTGAAACATATGTGAGTGGGCCTTTGGAACTCTCTGCCTTGTCCCCAGTAAACAAAACCTACTTTTGACAGGCCCCACATGGCTTTTATCCATTGACCTGCACACATAAGGGGTTGAAGATGGTATGCTGGTAGTGGTAGGTGCTCCTCTGACCTCACAACAGCTGAATCCCCACTGCTTTCTGGGAAGAAGAGGCAGAGGGGAATGTGGGGAGGTCAGTGAATTTCAAATGCACCAGCAGGACTGCTGAATTGGCTTTGCTGGTGTATTTGCACCTTGCCAACTTCTCTGCTATCTGCTACCTTGGCCCTCCCCCTTTCCTCCTAGTAAGTAAGCAACTCAGCTATCAGGGCATCAGGTGAGCACTGCGGCCCACCACACATTCTGCTGCTGTGCTCATAAATCCCTTTCAAACCTCTGCCACATATACCGTTACCCGAGGAATGGCCGCTGAGAGTGGTGGTGTGACGGTGTGTGTCTGTGATAAGTGAAACTATAGGCATGGTTGGCTTCATCTACCTAGTTTATCCAATGAAAACCCTGATATTGATTGATTGATTGATTGATTGATTGATTGATTGATAAAGTGCAAATGGCACTTTATTTTCCCTCAAAGTGTAGCTTGTGTAGCAAATGCCACCCTACCAGAAATTATAATGTGTGTGTGTGTGTGTGTGTGTGTGTGTGTTTAAATACATCTGGCGGCCATTTGTAGTGAGCATAATAAAGACTTGTTCCAATTAGGCATGTGAATTTCCTCTTTGAAGAGTAAAAAAAATAGGTGTTACTTCATGCTCATATAAATTCTGACTTTACGCCTGCATAAAATCAGTAGTAAAAAGAGGCTAAATCCTAGACATCTCCTACGCGCTGATACTTGTAGAGGCATATCACATACTTCAGAGATGTTTCTATTCTGAAGTATACATTAGACAGACATTGCTTTATGGGGAAAGAAAAATGGTGTTAGACTATGTTATAAGGTCACAGCATATTTTTTTGTGATGTTATCCAATCACACAGGAACTGGTTTCCAAAGAGCAAGACAGAGAATATGTATTGTTGCATGCCACTCCCAAACTCTGAGCAGTGTGAGATTCCAGGGGTTCCAGGCACTTATCCAGTGTTCTTGTTCCCTTTTGGAATTAGACACAGTGGAGATTGCAATGTCTTTATGATATATGGTTTATTTGCACATATATACAACCTGAGCATATGAGGGAGGGGTTCACACTGACATCCCAAGTAGGCATTCTGTTCCTACAGTGGCCAACTTGAGGTCCACAAGACGTAGGACGCAGGTGGCGCTGTGGTCTAAACCACTGAGCCTCTTGGGCTTGCCAATTGGAAGGTTGCCAGTTTGAATCCCCATGACAGGGTGAGCTCCCGTTGATCTGTTTTCAAAGCCTCAATATATACAGGTGACAATCCAAAGTATTAGCTCTTTTCCTTCTGCTTGTTTTTAATCTGACATAAAGATCTTGGCCTTCCACCAACCAGCCAGGATGATCACATTGTGAGGTTCTCTTTGCGTTTAAGCAAATGCGCAATCAGTTAAACACTCATTTCTTTGTTTTGCCTTTATAGAGCCCTGATAATATCAGATGTTCAAAAGGGGAAGCAGAGAAAGGTTATTCTTGAGAAACTCTCGTGAAGAAGATTGGCATAGGGTGAAGCGTATTATGAGAGAGACCTCACTCCAAAAGGAAACATCTGGCATCCATCAGCCAGAGTTATCATGCTAGAAGGTTTCTGATGCAGGCACACTTTTGAACGTTAGTGGGAATTTTAGCACTAAGAGATGGATTGAGAAATATCAAGCCTGTGTGGTGTAATAGTTATTGTCAGAGCACGACAGGGGAGATCCAATTTCAAATTCCAACTCAGCCTCTGTTTCTCAGTTTAACCTACCTCAGAGGGGGGGTCTAAGGATAAATTGGGGGGTATATCATCTTGAGGCCCTTGGGGGGATGGGGTATAAACAAAGTAATCAACTCAGAAGCAATCAAATTTTTAAGGATATAAACTACAAACTGAGATTTGTTGTTCAGTACTATGCAATTCCATCTTTGCTTATAAGGTGGTGCCACAGTAATTAGCAGTGCCACTTGTGTATTTCTGGCAATTTTGATAAAATCAAGGAATATGCTGGGTCCAAACCCCTTCGAACCTCAGTGCATGCCACCTCAGCAAGAGTTTTCATGACCAAAACCAAGTGAAAGAATAGCTTCAAAGCAGAAGGAAGTATTGATAGGTATAGGAACAGTCAAGATGTGACTCAGTAGTTGAGTTTCAAGAGAATTCAAACCAATTTCAATTTCAATTCCGATGAAAGATGCCAATCTTCAACAGCTACAGTTCGCTTCCTGGATCTTAAGCCTACCTGCCAGACTGCCACTCAATCACCTGTTTTTCTTCAGGGGAACAGCACCATCATTTCTAGAGAAAGAGTAAACTTGAAATATTGTAATACACTTCCAATGAAGTTTACAGTGGTACCTCGTGTTACATACACTTCAGGTTACATACACTTCAGGTTACAGACTCCGCTAACCCAGAAAGAGTACCTCAGGTTAAGAACTTTGCTTCAGGATGAGAACAGGAATCGTGCTCTGGCGGTGCGGCAGCAGTGGGAGGCCCCATTAGCTAAAGTGGTGCTTCAGGTTAAGAACAGCTTCAGGTTAAGAATGGACCTCCGGAACGAACTAAGTACTTAACCTGAGGTACCACTGTACTGAAACTTTGGCTATTCAGGTTAGAAGTGGTCACAAGATTGGGATCTACTGGTTGGTCTCTGGATGATCTACAAGGAGATCAACAAGGGTTTCTGACTCCCGGCTGCAAGAGGGGGGGGTGTGTGTGTTGTGTGTGTTTCAGTGTGTAGAAGGACACTAAATATAGAACTGGAAGAAATGTGCTCTTGGAAAGCTGATAATGTTAAATTTGAAAAAATGGGGAAATTAGACACATTGGACATACCTGTTTATTAAGCATTTAAATGACAAGCAATGGCAGGGACAGTATGTACACAAATCATATAACAGGACTGTGGACCAGATTCAGCTGAGGCCACAGGCCCGAACCAAAGTGGGTTGAGACAGGTGGAAACAGCCCAAGATCACCAACCTCACCTTCTTTTTGCCAGGTCTTTCAAGCACCACTCTGTAAGACTGGATTCTCCTGCTTATCAGCACCAATCCTATGCGATGCTGGTTGCTCTTCTTTCACAAGCAGCTTCCCTTGTGTGCAAATCAAAGCAAATCCTACAAGCCTGAAGTTTGCTCAGCTCTGATCTTGGTCATGCTGCTTCCATTACAGTATCAGCCAAAGCTGTTGAGATGAGGATAGACAGGGATTTGAAAGAATGGCGATGGCAGTTTGAGCACCTAATCACTGCATTCCAATGCATTTGTTTTCAGAGAACATCACTTCCATCAACCCTAGAATGCCTGTCTGTCTTCGCCCCTGGGAAACATTAAGATTACGTTATATGCTATGCAATGGTTTTACATAAATATAAGGGGGGAAACCAACCAAACAGACTTGCCACTTTTGCATCATTATTGAGGCTCACTGGTGGAGCATGGTGGGAAAAGTAAATTTAATCCTACCGCTGGAGGTATGTCGAATTCTCCACACCCAAATCATCCTTAACAAATTAATACCTGAAACAGAAGAATATGACTTGTGACAATGTCAAATTGCAACTTGCCAAAAGCAGAACATTGGGATTGTATCAGCGCACGCAAGGCAGATGGATCACTCTTCAACAATTAACTTCTCTGGATGAGGGCATCCAAGCAATTTTGGCATGCCTCCTTGGACAGGCCTGCCTGCTTGCTTACTTCATGAAGGCTGCAATCTTAGACACACTTAACTGAGAGAAAATTCCATCAAACTCAGTGGGACTTGCTTCTTCTGAGCATGCTAGATAGTCAACATAATGTTAGATAGAGCTTCTTTTCACATTGGTAACAAAATCAGGTAATTTGGGAGTCTAAAATTGGGGCAGAACTTAAGGTTGAAAAAAATGGGAAGCAACCCTAGTTTCCCCCTTCAAACTATTTATTTGTTTGCTTGTTTGTTTGTAAAGTACAATCATGTGTGCAATTTTCTCCATGTAAAACCCATAGATATAATATAATTTTAATTTATTTTTTTAATGTACCGACCTTTCAGCCCCTTATCTGGAATACAAGAGCTACACCCTCCAGAATCTCTGTGAGCAGGATTGTACCTTGAATGGGGATCAGTGCTATTTTTCTAGAAAAAGAGGTGCCAAAATTCACCTCTTTCGTTCTCTTAGAATGGCAATGGCACCCACCAGAGACGTGCCGGAACTGAGTCCCCCTGGACAAAAAAGGCCCTGAATGGGACTAAACCTGTTTCGGTCTCAGTAAACCTTCTAAAAGTGGTTTGTTGTCTTGCTGGGATTAAACGTATTTTTTTCTCCAATTCACTTTGCTGGCAACTGCGCCACTAGTGATGGACTTCAGCAATCAAAACAAATTTTGAAGGATCTGAACAATTGCAAGGTTAGTTGAGTCAAAGAAGATGCTGTGCAGAACATTTCAAACAAAATGTGCGTGGTGGCAAGCATCTGTGTGTTTAGAAATCTCTGAGTTTCTGCTTGAGGAAGAAATTGAAGTTTATATAAACAAGAGCCTGTGATCTAATGTTTGAGCTTTTACGGACAAATGCAGTCAAACCTTTACAGGAGGTTAGAGACAGAAAGAGAGGTATAGAAAGGGATGAGACATTTTAGATGTCAAATTAATGTTTTTCACCCATGTAATCCAGTCTGGCAAAGCTCGTTTCCATCTTTCCACTCAGCCAGACCTGTAAAAGCAATTGTCTTTCATCATAACGTGAATCAAGCTTGAAAACTTCTGTGTTTCTGTAAAAGCTTGACAAAGTTAATTGAAATCTGGGCAACGAAGTCTGAACTTCCTGAGATAAGGTGTGTTTACAGAGGAAGTTTGTTGCTAAGTTGGCCCAGGCTAACAATCCTAAAGTCTCTTGTTAAAGGATTTGTGTTATTTCTGTGGGTGGATCATAGGCTCATCCAATTATGATTGCAGTAAAAGCCAGATATTGTGTCATATGCTTTACTAGTTCATACTGGTTTGCAAATTCCATTCACTCTGCAATGCATATGCAAAAAAAGAAAGAAAGAAAAAGAATGCCACACATTCAAACAGAAAAGGAAATGGGGGAAAATCCCACAAAATCCTATCAAGAGATTAAAGAACACTTCAGAAGTATATAATTTTATTAGTGCAGAAAAAGAAACAGTGTTTCAGATGTTGACAGTATTCCATTTAATAACAGAAGGATTTTTAAAAATATATATAGGAATTGCATTTCCCTCCCCCCCCCCCTTGTGATACTCTACTATCAAATTAATAGACAAAAAGGCACATTCCTCACCAATGCTCATTATCGGCTGCTGTCTTCCTCTTCATCACCACACTTCTTAATTTTCTCACAGGAAAAACTTGTACCTCTTTAAGGAGATTGTCCCTAAACTGGTCTGGAGAGTAATAATAATAATAATAATAATAATAATTTTTATTTACACCCCGCCCTCCCCAGCCAAGGCCGGGCTCAGGGCGGCTAACAAGCAATAATAAAAACAAGTTGAATGAATACAACTTAAAAACAAGATTAAAATACAACATTAAAATATTGAAACATTAAAATATTCAAATGCAGCCTCATCACAGGAGGAGAAAGGAAAAAGAAAAAAGAAAGGGGGGGAATCAAATTGGTTTGCCTTCCCTGGCATTGCCTTTTGTCTTAATTTCCTTCCTTGCTTCGTGCTGGATTTATGACACGGCACACATTCAGCTGAGTCACTTGGGGTTCAGTTCAGGCATACTCATGCTTCAACGAGATCCACTGAAATCAGGGGACAGGTTAGTCACAACTAACCTCATTTCTATTGATTTGACTCCAAGCATGAGTAAGTCTGAACTGGATTCATCTTTTCATTAACTTCTCCAGTGGATTTCTCCTTAAGCAGAAGCTAAAACTTCACAGTCTCATTCTGAAGAACCAAACAAACTTCACATAATTCTGTCTTGGGCTGTGTACACACCCAATTTACCCTGAATTCATTGTGTTCCCACCACTTGACATTAACCATAATTCATACTTATCCTGTAGCTATCCTGTTATTTCTTTTGTAATAATGAATATTTGACCAGCTTTGACCCAAATGGAGAAAAAGAACGACCTAGCTACATTTTAGGCCAGTTTATGTGTCTATAGATTCAGACAAGCAAGTCCTGTGATGGTAGAATCATAGAATCATAGAATTATAGAGTCATTTAGTCCAAACCCCTGCAATGCAAGAATCTCAACTAAAGCATCTATGACAGAGAGCCATCTGACCTCTGCTTAAAAACCTCCAGTGACATATGAGCCTCTTTATTAGGGCCACCCTCTTCAAGACATGTCATTTGTTGACAGAGTACATGAGTACTACAGTGGTACCTCAGGTTACAGACGCTTCAGGTTACAGACTCTGCTAACCCAGAAATAGTACCTCGGGTTAAGAACTTTGCTTCAGGATGAGAACAGAAATCGGGCTCTGGCGGCGCAGCGGCAGCAGGAGGCCCCATTAGCTAAAGTGGTGCTTCAGGTTAAGAACAGATTCAGGTTAAGAACGGACCTCCGGAACAAATTAAGTTCTTAACCCGAGGTACCACTGTATAGTATGATGGCATGATTAATTTTTGCAAATAAATATCAACACAGCCCACAATTCCAGCAGGAAGAAGCATGTGTGAACAGGGAATG